TAGCGCGCGCCCATTAAAAAATGGCGGCTTTTTCTTTACAGCTGGACCTCGCCATAGAGGTAAATCGTCATTTCCTCGCAAACGAGTATGGTGACCTACAACATGGTATAGTGTCTTTGATTTGTAAGATGCAGTTTCGATCGTAACTTGTAAGACTTGTAAGCGTTGACAAGGAGTCTTTTTTCCACCCGATCTGAAAATTCTAAGTGCCTATAATGAGATGCAGTTACACTAGTTAAATAGTTGAGTACGAGTCTTACGATCGAAACTGCATCTCAAGACCTCTTCCATTCAACCCAGTTTTAAAAATCCACACTGAAAATATCAATGCGTTCTATTTTTCACAGCGAGTATCGCATTCAGCACTTGTAGCGCTGTCCCAATGACAAACAACTTTGTTTGGTGACGCACATGAGTCTTACGAGTTGTACCAGTTTACTCTTAAACTTCCACAACCAAAATAATGATATTCGATGTTTTCCTGTTTAGATTTGAATCTCCTAGATAAGTCAGGAAGAACTCCAATTCACAATGCCATATTAGGACGTCACGTGAAAATCATAGAAATGCTCCTGGAGGCTGGAGCTGACGCAAGTCTTCTGGATGAGAGCCACGATGCACCACTCCACACGGCGGTCCGGACAAGGGACGAGAACCTTGTGAAAGTAGGTATTTTGGCAGAATAAAAGTGATCGGGTCATGCTTTGTTTAGTCCTCAGCTGTTGTTAAAGTTAAATTAACCACCGGAGTGAATTTGTAAGAGGACGTTTTGGGTGTTAACCCCTCGTCAGGGCAAAACAGATTAGAAGAAAAAGTAGCGTGGCGAACCCAATTATTAGACTACGTAGCAAGCGTTCATTATTTGCAAAAGCACGCGAGGGGGAACAAAACTACGAGCGAGGGCGAAAAGTTGGAATTGAATGTAAGCTGTCTTTACTTGTTCAGCTGAGGTGAATATCTAATGCGTTGCGGCAGGAGCAAAGTCGCGAGAGATGACCGACTCGCTTTGCTGGCCGACTCTCGGTTCTTTCGGCGACGGCTTCGCTGTGCGCTCCTTTACGCATTGCGTAAAGATTTCGATAAGGAATCTTTACGCTTCTTAACGGATAGCGTAAAGGTATCCTTAACACATATTTACGCACAACAAAAACAACACTAGCTGTATGTTCGATGCTTACAACACTTTAGCAATACGTTATGTACGTCCTGTCAGGCTTTGATGCCTACAGACTCGCTGCAAAATTACTTCAACACCATCCAGACTCCAAATACAATCGAAAATAGAAATGTCATATGATCCTGAATCTAAGAATATTCACAAGAATATTTTCAGCCTAAAATGGGCTGGAAAATAAAAATATTCAGCCTCGGCAGGAAAAACAATATTTTTCTGAAAAAAAGAGGAAAATGAAAATGCGAAATTTTAGGATTTACA